CTATGAAAAAAAGGAAACATACAGTTAATACTCTAACTATACATATATGCACTTCCAGACAGTACTATTACTTTAATAAAGCACATTCTCCATAATTAATTTTTTGTACTTTACATTTTAGTATTTAGTTTTATTTTTGGTTTAATTTATAAAATCTTTGGGAATTTTAGTTGTTTTCAATTCTTGAAAGGCTAATATGAGCCATATGCATGTCAATCTTTTTAAAATTTAGACCATTTATGTGTTCAAACTAACAGTCTTGTATTGCTTTACTAATGGTTAAATCAAGAGTCCTGAAAGTGCTGAAGTTAAACCATATGTATTAAATATGAAAAACCTTAAACTAAAAGGAATCAGCTGTAATTTGCGGAAAAAATACTCAAAGATTTAGGACACTCTGCTTTCCTTTTGAATTAGGTACTTTTCCATGTTTTGGCACATGTTTCAAGCAGTTTTTTAACTTTATGGTTATTGAATGGTTAATGTTTTTTGTACGTTGGCAGTCATCATGAAAAGATCATAAGTCACCCAAAATTGTTCCTGTTCAATGGTCTGTCTTGGAATACTTAAATAAGTTGCCGGAGGGGGTAAGGTGGCTGATGGATTAGCTGCTATAAAAAAGTGCTGACGTTACCATTGAAGTGTCTATAAAGCATAGTTCTAGAGCTAGATGCTTAAATTGTTAAAGCAGTTAATCATATGCTCTCTAGAAATGCTAGTTCTTAATGTTTCTATAATTTAACATCAACCAAAAATAAAGGAATGATGAAATGCTAATCATATTATAAGGTATTTTTCCTTTTCTTTTTCTTTTCTTTTTTATCTTTGTTGAAGATTTCAAGTTCAATTGTATGAACTATTTGTTTAAGGTCAATATTAATTCTTATCTAATGGCTAATTGACTGTTGCAGGCACTAGATACTTTCAACACAGCAGTTGTTTCTCCTATCTATTATGCTGGGTTTACATCGTTTACAATATTTGCTAGTGCAATAATGTTTAAGGTATTTGGGCACAAACCCACACAAAATAAGCTATAAAGTTGAGGGAAAATAGCAGTACTAATTGTCGTCATGTTTCATAGGATTATGCTGGTCAAAGTGCAAGCAGTATAGCATCCGAACTTTGTGGTTTTATCACTGTGTTATCTGGCACTGCTGTATTGCATAGTACAAGAGATCCAGATCCACCTTTCATTGCAGGTAATTTTCTAATTTATTTCATTTTTTATAGGTATCTCTGTTGTGCAGTATGTTGCTCAGACTCGGGTGTGGCGATGGATCTAAATGTCTAACTTGGAAAATTTAAAATTAAAAGTTTAGAGCTTGGTTAAAAAGCGTCCAAAATTTACTACGGTTGTCTGAACTTGTTTGATTAAAGAATAATTAAGTCAACTGAGGAACTTATGTTGAATTATTTTAGTTCAATAAGAATAGTTGATCTTAATTACTAAGTTTATTTGAAATAAGTTATTGCGATTGATTTATGTATACAAGTTAAACCGCTCCGTATTAGTTTGCATAAATATAAAATCCACTTTCTATTCGAATTCTTTAAACAATCTCCCCCAATTTTGTGTTGTAGTGGAGTTCTTTAGGCTTTTGGTTTAACCCAAATCAATACATTTAGTTATTTACAGCCGAAATCCATTTGGGATTCTTTCCTCTAGAATCACTCTAACCATAACTGTATCCACCTTTTTCTTTATTGTTTTTCCATGGCTACGCTTTTCATTCTCTCTCTCTCTCTCTCTCTCTCTACGTGTCTGTATATTAAGTATCTTCTAAAATGTAGTGAAGACATTTCCCTTCTCATTCTCCCCTCCCTCTTTCTCTTCCTCTCTCTTGGAAAAGCTCTCTATCTCTCTTTATTGTCTTATAAACTTTACTTTCTCTCTGCCTTAAAAGCATCCACCGTCATCTTCCTTTCTGTTTCAGCAAAGGAATAAACACCCATCAGAACTGAGTCCAACATGCTATCATTACGATATGCTTCAACCGTGATAAAACTTACTTGCAAGAAAGTGACATTTCCGGCATGCACATCAATTGTCAGACAGATTTCATACCCATATAGGAGTCTTGTGAAGATGGGTATATCACTAAAAATTCCAAGTTTGAGCAATGTAGCTTATGCATATATAATGGCCAACCTCATGATAAGGAAAACATTGTATGCATCACAACTTCATCGTAGAAAAAACATGTATGAGTGTGCATTTATATGTAGATTAACTTGTCCTTTATGAAAATTTAAATAAATAAACTTTGTAGAAAAGAAAATTTTTTCAATAAATTTATTTTTAAATTTTTTATGTTAATTGCCTTTTGTTTCAAATATCTTTTTTTTTATAAAAAAAATAGACTGAAATATTACTATTGAATTGCTGATATAATTTTGTTGAAGAAATAGTTTATGGTATTTATAGAGATATCTGTTAGAAGAATAAGAAATTAACTACTTAGGAAACTAGCATATGGAAAAGTGCTACATGAGAGAATACCCTGTTATTCCTTTGTTTTTTTTTTTTAAATCATATTATTGAGACACCAAAAGGTACCACCCATGTAATAAAGCTAGAATTACATATTAATGAAAATGTCTACAAGGTCCTCTAAATCCTCATAAAAAATAACAGGATTTCCCTTCAACATAAAAATTAGGGTTGTGAACCATAAATCATTAATCCTACCAAAAGATATGGTATCCTTAAAAACCTAATTATTCCTTTCCGTATAAACCACCCACAAGTTAGTCAAGGGGATTAGAGATATTAACTTTCTTCTTCTCTTACCACTATAGATGCCATGCTAAGCCCGAAACTCTTCGACCATCAAGCCCACATCGCCTCACTCAGCCCCAAGAAACTGATAGCAGTGTACCACAGGTGATTGGAACATGGACAATGTAACAAAAGGTGATCAGAGGATTCAGTATCCCTCTTGCATAAGTAATAACTGTTGACAAAATTTTGTCTCTCTTCTAAGATTATCAATTGCGAGGATTCTGCCACTAGCCGCCTCTCAAGCGAAAAAGGCAACCCTGGGGGAGCAATCAGCTTCCAAATAGCTAATTTCCAAGTGAAACTAGATGAGTCCGAGCAGGTGCTGAGGAAGAGAGATAATTTCAAGAAATTTCACCATGATGGATCCACTCGGAGCCAACTTCCAAAAAACATCGTCTTCTGAAGGTGAGATACTGCAACATGAAAGGCTGCGAAAAAAACTTCGAAAGTTCCTCTACCTCCTAATCATTGAGATTCCTGCTAAGTTCGACATCCCATACAACTTTTCTCGAAGACATCAAAACAAATCCCATCAACTGCCTCTTCACTCCGAGCCAGAGAAAAAATGTTGGGAAGATCTGCTCAAGAACACACTCGTCGTGCCAATTGTCATGTCAAAACCACACTATCTTCCCAAAAGGACTCTGATTTTGATGCAAGGCTAGAAGGCCTCCTGCCAGCGTTGATATTCTTCCATAATCTTGTGATGTTGGAACCTGTAAGAGTCTTGACTATCTGCCCCAAATGCTCAACTCCAAACTTAAGCCTTAACGACACTCCAGCAAAAACTATCTTCAACCAACATGAATCTCCAAATCTATCTTCCTAGCAACACTTTACTGAAGAGAAGAAAAGATCTGATGTTCAGACCACTTCTATCAATCGGATGCTTGACTTTCTTCCAAGCCACAAGATGGAATATTGTCTGATAGATAGTCCCCCCACAAGAAACGACGTTGGACATCCTCTAGTTAGCCAGACCAGGATCAGAATCAAAGAGAGATAACAAATGACCAATTCAGAGAGTGTGCTTTTAGTGAGTGTAAGCCTGCCTCCTTTAGATAAATGACATCTTTCGACTTGTGAGCCATCTTTCAAATTTAGCCACCACTTGCTCTTACAAAAATATGTCTTTGATCCCAATCAAACACCAAGATATATTTTTTTTTTAAATAAAAAGTTGTATGAGTATTACAAACACCAAGATACTTTGAGTCAAACATACTACAGAATCCTACTCAGGATAGTTCAGGGGTCTCTTTATATTGTTAGTTGCAAGATGGCCTGTAGGCAAGGACGTAATAGATATAATTCTTTAATCTTAGTTACGTTTCTCTTTGTGAGGCAGTTGATTCATTGGATGGATAATATTAAACCAAAGTTTTGTGATGATAATGATGAAATTGCAGATCTATATACACCGTTATCTCCAAAAGTTTCATGGTATATCCAAGGAAATGGAGAACATTGGAAACAGAAGGATGAAGATGGATTATCCCCTAGTTTTATGACTATTATTCGGCAAGACTATTTCAAGTAAACTGAATATGATGGGCATCAAAGCTCTGAATTTGGGGTTCACATCTTTGTGGTATGGCTTCAGAACTTATACATGGTTGTGTAGGTGACAAGCAAGTAAATTTTTTTCTAGAGGAATTTTATATTCTTTTATCCTCTTTAGTGTGGAAGCAAATCGTGGCTCTTTTTTTTTTTTTTTTTCTCTGTGTATCTCCATAGTCATAGGGAGTTATTATCACTTCATCTATCAATTTAATTTTTGGTTTCTATTTCTCATTGTCCAGCTAGATAGCACTTTTTCTAGAAGTGTCTTGTGTGCAGGAGAAATGTGCTTGGTCTTGTATAATTTAATTTAATTTAATTTATATCACGAAAAATAATTTAATTTCATGCTTAGAAATTTGGACAGTTCCATGATTTAGTATTTGGTATTATCTTGCTTGCTGAAGGATATAAGGTATGTATACATCTCACTTTTTGAGGGTTAGCTCAAATTTCAATTTTATAGAATGAGATATAATTATAATATATATATGTGATAAAAATTGAATTCAAATAGTATTTAATTTCAAGTTAATTTTGTGTCCAATTCAAGTTAGTAGTTATCTTGTTCTACATCTTCTTAATAAGTTTGTAGAAATTTTCGGAACAAGTAATACAATTCCTCCATAACAGTTAGACCTGATACTAAATTGTTACGATCTTGATTAACGAATTTGTTGTGAGATTTCTATTAATAATATGTGAGGTCATTAAGAGAAAATTAAGCGATTTCTGATTTTAGTTAATAGTATGGACTCGTTAAAAGAGAATTTAACAATTTCTTGACTGAAAACTACAAGAAACATGGTAGTTAGCTAGAAGTTATTCCCAGAATTAATTACATCGTTGTTCTTATCTCGACTTATTCTCCCAAATACAAAATCTCTTTTAAACTGTTCCTCGTGTGGTTGATAAATGGGTGATTACTCCAACTCTCAATGCAACGTTGAAGTCACCATTCATGTTTATAACATTCTATATTTTTGAATCAAAATTTAAAAATTCAATAACATGAGAAATTTTATAAACTAGTAATGGATACAAAATAAGTAATTTCAATTCACTTAAAAGATTTACTTGAATACAATTAAAAAAGATTTGTATTTAATTAAACATAAATTTTTATAGAAGATCCCATTTGACTATATTTATTGAAATTGATTGTGTTAATTGATACGCGCCAGTGTGATCATAAAAATTAAAATAAAATGAAATAATAATCAGAAAATTAAAATTAAAATTTAAATAATATTATGATATTATTATTGAAAGAAATGAAAAGAATATTAATGGTTAAAAAATAAAATATCATTATTAATTGATACGAGTGAAAAGGAAAAAGATTATAAAACATTTTTAAATTATATTTTTATTCTTAATTGAAGTTTCTCTACTCCAATTCTTAATTAATTGCATTTCAATTCATGCCGTCCCAAACTGTCGAAGTCGCAGCTCGTGTGTTCAAGCCCCAGCTTGTGGCTCAAAATCAACCACAAGCCCGACCTTTTGAATTTCCAATTTAAAAAGTTTCAGACGGAGCCCGAGCCAGCAGAGCTCAAAAAAATGGCAGCAATGGATTACTCTTCTCTAACGTTTCTCTTATCCAAAACTACTCCACTACTCCCAACCTCTCACTTCTCCACTCCGTCTCTCTGTAAAACCCACCGTCTCTCCAAATTTTCCATCTCCTCTCCTCCGCACACGGCCAATGTACATTTCAACCATCGGTTGCCCTTTCGTGTCTCTTGTCAGACCGCCGGCATGCAGACAGAAGGCGCAATCAATACTGAATTGGCTGTCAAAGTTGGCCAGGATCGACTCTTGAAGGCCTGCCTTCTGTTTTCTTCTTTCTATCTTTCTGTTATGCCGTTCTATTATGTTCTTCACTCCATGATCTTTTCGCTGTTATTATCTGTTTGGATTGGATGAGAGATTCTGTTTTTGTTTTTGGAAATACAGGTTCCGGTTACGAATATCAGGAATTTTTGCATTATAGCGCATATTGACCACGGGAAATCAACTTTAGCAGATAAGTTGCTTGAAATGACCGGGACTGTGCAGAAGCGAGAAATGAAGGATCAGTTTCTTGATAACATGGACTTGGAGAGAGAAAGAGGCATCACGATTAAACTCCAGGTTCGTTATGTTCTTTCTTTTCTTCGTTCGTCATGACTGGACCAGCATTGGCTCTGTTTCTTCTCTGAAGCATTTGACCGATTGCTTTTTATTCCGTTTAGTTGAGTTCAATCAAGAAGACTAAAAAATTAACCAATCGGCAAATAGTCCAGTGCTTACCTTCTCTTCTCACTTTCACGAGAATGAGAGTTCAGTGACGGCCGTTAGCAGCTATTACTATGTACGTAAATGAGAAGAAAAAGAAAAAGAAGACCAAGAATTTCCATGTTGAGAAAGTTATTTCAAGGTGAAGATGATTAATAATGAATAGTGGCTGGTTTGTTAATAGCTTGGAATGGGTTCCTCGGAGGTAGGGAAAACTCTTTGCAAATTTGAACAATTCTGTTCTAATCTAGTACTTTAGGGTATTGCAGAGATAAAATAAAGCTCTGTTATGACTACCAGGATCAAGTTAGCCATTCAAGAGCTGGCAATTGTATTCTATAAATCATTTTGTGTTTTCTCATTCTATTTGAATTAGTTAGTTATCACGAAAAAATGGGCCAGTACTTCTTTCTGTCACACTTAAATGCTTTTATAACGTGCTTGATGCTTCTTATTTTGAAATGATTTTGTTCAACTCATAATTCTCTTTAGGTCTAATTTTCTTTCACTTTTGTGGTAGGCAGCTCGAATGCGTTATATGTTCAGAAACGAACCATATTGCCTGAACTTAATAGATACTCCAGGGCATGTTGATTTCTCCTATGAGGTATATTCTTGGGAACTTCTTTTTATTCTTTAACGTTGCAACATGATTCATCTACAGATTTTTTTGGTTTACATCATGTCCATGCTCTTTTTGATGAGAATAAAAGCTGTTAAGAGTATCCATGAAAGACATCAAATACATTGTTTCTCTTCCACGATACCTGACCATCAAGTCAATTCATAAAAGTAGAGATTAGTCACACAATGTTTAGCAGATAATGATACAAGAAAGAATAATGAGGCAAAGGATACCATTCCCCTCCAATAATCTTCCAGAAGAGAAAATGGGAGCCATCATCCACCTTACCATGAACTAAAGGGGTAAGAGAACTATATATCTTAGAGATGAATTTCCAGGGGGCTCCTATGATGATGGTAGAACCGACCTTAGTATTTCAACCATATTGGAGCTACCATTCTGCCTGATTGCGAGGCCAATAAAAAATGAATGATGGTCAATCCAATTGCCTTTTGAAAAATGTTCTGAATTTATCTATTTTCTCTTTCATTTATGTCCAGGTTTCTCGTTCTCTTGCTGCATGCGAGGGTGCTCTCCTTGTTGTGGATGCTTCTCAGGTGAATTTTTGTAATTAGTTAATCAATTGGAGCACTTTGCGATCCTTGAACTGATAATTTCTCTCATTTGTAATATTGATTCTATCTGGATCTGTAGCAAAATGTAGTACAAGGTACACTACTTTCTCTACTAGTAGCACTTAATATTGTGCTTATTTTTTAAGGGAGTGGAAGCGCAAACTTTGGCTAATGTTTACTTGGCCTTGGAAAACAACCTAGAAATCATACCTGTAAGTAGCTAACTCTCTTTGGTAGTATTTTCTCAAAACCTTTTTGTTTTCCTTTTATTTTTTGAATTTCATCTTCCTCATTGATTCGGATTCTCATGGGATTCGAAGAGCTTGCACATATGTTTTATTTCCTTCCTATTCAATCAAATCACAAAAACAAAAACAAGAAAAGGGAAGAAGAATGGTTATATTGAGATGGCATGAATCTTTTTAGGAACTCAGATGACATGGATTTAGGTCTTATCTGTCCCAGTATCTTTCTTTTCCATTTTGTAATGGTGCATTTCATTGTAAAGATTTCACTGATGTCTAAGATCTTTTCTTTTGCATAGGATGTAGAAATGGTAATTGAAGAAATTTTATATTATTTCCCTAATTTGACAGACATGCAAGTTGAGTACCATAACATAATTTGGGAATTAATTATGTGAATGTGCTCATGATATGGCTGCTATAAGCATGCTTTTTTGAATATTTTTTTATGACCATATGTTTATGATTAGTTGTAAGAAAATGTGTAAATGATAGGGTTTGTCAATGTTTATTTTCTTCTTTAGACTTTGGAGTTTAACTCAAATATAAATTTGTGAGAATGTATTTATGTTAATCAAAGCAAATTCAAACAGACCATTCTTATTCATTCCAGGTCTTGAATAAGATAGATCTTCCAGGTGCTGAACCAGAGCGAGTTATTCGAGAGATTGAAGAGGTTGGTGCAAAAGTAGAAGGATTCCATTGGTTTGGTGGGTGTATCTGGGCCTAAATTGATCCATATCTTACTATAATATGGGATTGATACTCGGAAGCTAATATCATTTCAACTCTTTCAAGTTTCACTTTGGATCTCTAAATCTTCTTCCTTTTGATTTTTGGTTTACATTTTGGCGTGTTTATTTAGTTTCCTACTAGGCTTCTAATGACTTTAGTCATCATCTAAACAAATATGAATGCTTTTTCTATCAACTTAAATTATGCTAAATAAACCTTTTTAAAAAAATATACTTTTGATTGATTATGATTCCAACCATTTTAACAACTATTGCTCTCACCAATGACCACCATCCTTGATCGCCACCACTGCAGATTGTTTGTAATCGTGACTCTAGTTGGGACCAAAGCCATGTCACGCATGCAACTGGTGTGGAGTCGTGACAGTCGTGGGCCAGATCTCATCCTAATTGAGAGCTGGCCAAGACTATGTGCTTGTCACTGATCACTAACCTTTTGGTTGGTTTTTTCTCTTTGTTTTGTTATTCTTTATATAGTTTATTAATTAAAACAATTTTTATCATACTTCTATAATATAAATATTTTTTGTATATTTTTGAATATAAACATTTTTGTTATATTTTTGAATATAAATATTTTTGTTATATTTTTGTACTGTAAATTATTATTATTTAATAATTTGATGTTATATTAAACATAATATGATTTCTAGATTTTATTTTATACCAATTTTTGGTAGTTTTGCACTTTTAGATTTTCTTTAACCAAAAGTAAAGATCAATTATGCTATGATAACAAGCACCAACTTCAGTTGTAAATAGTAAAAAAATTGTATGACTTCAGCCAAACCGGAAATTCTTTCATCTGTTAATTGTTATCTGTATATATATATTTTTTTTGGTGTAGGTTGTTGGGTTAGATTGTAGCAAGGCAATACTGTGCTCTGCAAAGGTTAGTTCTATACTACTTTGCATTTGCTTATTGACATGGCTTTTCTTGATTAACTACAGTATGACTTGATAGAAAATGTCAACATTCTGTATTTTGTTTTTAAATCTAAAGCTTTTATAAGTAAACATAATTTTTAATGGAGATATTGCATGGTTAAGTTTATATAAAAAAATTATATCATATATAATTAAGCCTTTAAAACAATATTATTATAAGGAATATTATATCATATATGTTATAAAAAGAACTCTATAAATACTTAAATACCAAATTAGTAAAATCATTTTAAGAAATATTTTTGCATTTTGGTGCTCTCTTTTTCTCTCTCTTTCTCTCTCTCTCTCTCTCTCTTGCCACACCCTGTAGTTTAAGGATTATTTAAATTTTTTATTTTTTTTTTCTGAGCTCTATAGTGGGTGTAAGTTTTTCACTATATTGTCATCTAGCAAATAAAATTTCTTCCTCTACTCCCACCAAGAGGTTTACCTGATTCATGAATAATACATGACATAGATGTTAGAAAATGAGTATTTATAACATAGTATATTAAGGATAACACGTTTCCCATATGGTTTATCCTAGGATAAATTGCATGAAAATGTTCGGCACTTCTATAGTGTCTTAAATTGGGCATAGTTCTTTTGATTGCATCTTCTTAGGACCTATGATTTTTTTAATTGTTAGAAATTAGGACTCTCCGCTCATTTTTAAGGTAAAATACTGACCGAACTGTAAATAATTTTTGTACATGGGTGGTATCCCTTGGTGCTTTTATGTTAATATACATTATACTTTTCATTCCAAAAAAATAAAATACTCCTAAAATTGACTACCACATCCTCCTTGCGTCTAGCTAAATTAACTTAATTAGCTTGACAACTTGTTTTCGGTACATTGATTTAGTTAACACACATATGGAGTGCGTAAAGTCAAAATTCAATTTGATTTATTAGAGAAGTTGCTTTCCAGTCCTAATTTAGTAATCAATATGATTGGAGTTTATGAACGAATAATCTGTCCTTGCTTGCTAAATTGTTATGATGCTTCCTTTCAAAATCTTGTTCCTTGTTATCAAAGTAACCAAGAGTAAATACAAGTTGCAAATGAATGGTTTGGATTCTAATGGTAGGAGTACCAGGACTTACAGGAGTCCTTGAACAACCATCTCTCAGCTCTGCCTTTCTCATCCCTCTTACTGATTTGAGAGTGTGTTTGGACTCTTGCATTTGTTTGCACAATGTATTTGTGACCTTCTCCTTGCTAGCCTTTTCCCAAGCATTTAATAACCTCAGTTGCGTCGTTATGCTCCCTATTGGTCACATCAGTAATTAACTTGATGAACATATATTGTGGGTAAACTACATCAAAGACTTGTGGGACTAGGGAAAGACATGATATCTAGACTTACCAAGAACCTATGTTAGGAGGAGAAATAAAACCAAACTAGAACTCAAAGGATAGAGAATACAATTTCTCCTGGTAATCCCTAAGGGATTTGAGGTGGAGACACCTTATCGTGAAGATTATAAGGCGGAATGTTAATGGCGTGGCTAATGGCCTAAAAAAAATGAAGGTTAAATAAGTGATTTGTTGGGCTAATCCTGAAATTGTTATAAGAAACTAAAATGGAGTGTCTAGATAGGGTGTTGGTTCATGGTACTCAAGACTTTAGGTTTAGGTAGTGGGTTCAGATCCCTTCTTTTGGGCCTTGATGGAATTTTTTCTTTTTTTTTAGAATAAACAGTATGTATTCTGGAGCACCAAGGTGGTGCAATCCGTATATAAAAGATTTACAATTAAAATAAAATGTCAATTTAAGTCTTCTAAATCCTGGAACCAATAGTTTTTTTTTTTTTGTTTTTTTGAACTAGAACCAAGAGTTTTTAAGTCTATTAGAGTTAGCTTCTATACCCTCAAAACCCTCCTATTCCTTATTTTTCAGATAATCGAAAATGTTGAAAAGGGAATAAGCCTAATTATCTGCTTACAACTCCTTTCTCACAGTGCCAGCACAGCCCCAACTCAGACCCAACAACTTATTAGTGAAAGACCATATGGGTATACAAAAGGACACTGAAGGAGAATGTGGTTTCATGTCTCCGCTTCGCTTTTGCACAAATAGCAGCCATCCACCAAAATCTTGCCTCTCTTGATAAACTTATCCAACGTGAGAATGCATACCTGAACTGCTTCCCATGAAAAAAAAATGCAACCTTGGAGTCATTCTCATCTTCCCCAACAGCTACCTCGGAAACCACTTCATCTTCTCTTCTCTTCTTGTCAGATTTTGGTAATAAGATTTGACTAAGAAGAGTCCCTTGGAATTCAGGCTCCAGATAGGTTTATCTTTGCTCTCTTCAGAAATCACCATCTGGGTAAGCACATCGAGCAGTGCAAAGGAATCATCAACCTCCTAGCTGTTCAAGTTTCTAGTCAAATCAACTTCTAAGATCCTCCTCCAAGGAAAGCATCCTTTACAACAATATTCTTGTTCTCAGCAATATAAAAAATTGTTTGGGAACTTCAAACAAACAGCCCTCCTTTTTTAACCAATTGTCTCTCCCAGCCCAAATTTTTTATTGTCCTTGGGAGCTGTGATGTGCTTTTGTGATGCTCAGTCTTATAGTCACACTTTTCTTGCACTATGATACAATTTGGAGACATCAAGACGCCCTTATTTGACACTTCTAGTGTCTTCAGGATTTCTCCTCTAAATCTTGAGGGCTTTAATATGTCTGTCTTTTTGTTTGCTAACTTTTCTGTCTTTTTTGTATGGAGGAGGAGGAGTATAGATTGTGTATAGAGACATGTTGGCCGGGTTATGGGTGATGTGGCTGGAGAGAAATGCTAGGAAATGTGAGGATCATTTCTCACATTTTTTTCTTTTTCTAGGATAGGATGACTTTTGGCATCTCTTTGGGCTAAGGTAATTGACTATATAAGGAGGATGAGGTGATGGATAACATACAGGTATTATTTGCTATATTTTACGCAGAGGTTGGTCGATTATCCTCTATTGAGTTG